CTTATTTGACATGGTTGTTTGGTTGGCAAGAGCATAGACACATCTCCAATGTTGTAAGAAACCAACGCTTTAAGAACCTGTTATTGTATATCAATAGTGTTATAACATAAGTCATAAAACGACCTTAACTAAGAATATCGGGGAACGCTTGGCTCAAGAGTCTCGGGTCCGCAACTAGCTGAGCAGAGTTCCGTCCCTTAGTCCCACAAGGATCTGGTTTCTTACCTCCATACCATTACTGTTCGGTTTCACAACAGGGGTAATTGTCTTGACCTGCATTCTTTCAGGTTTTTCTCCCATATTAACTCAACACGCTGTAACATAACTGAAATACAGTTCAAGAAGGATCTCATTCACTCACTCACCACATAGAAATATTTCATCATCATTGTAAAGCATGGTTTTCCTCACGATGGGGAATATTTGATCAATCAGATAAACACGGGGTCGGGGTCTTTGCCGCAGGTATTCGCGAAAAGGTGAGCATACCGCCGGTGGTACCCATAACAAACACATGCAAAGACAGGTCAATTGTTCACCTAAAAAAACGGGAAGAAAAAATAGGAAACTGCATCGGACATCATCTCTGTCACTGATGCGTCAAATTTCGAAATGTCCTCAACATGTTTACCATAAAAGGTTTGAAAAAAATTACCTCCTTTAATCATGATCGATCGAGAGAATACATCAGTGTTTGTAATTGGACAAGAATCATATCAGTACGTACTATTATGTTGTGATGAAGAGTGTAACCAAGGAAACTGGATCCTCGTGGCTTCTGTACATGCCTGGGAGGTCGTAAGTGAGAATAAAAACACCGTCTATATTGATATAGGTTAGGTTTCTTCATAAACAGCTTGTTCATCGCTTGTTAGCGGGATCGATAAAAGGATCGATCTCTCTTCTGAGCATGATGCGGCAAAAAAAAAAATTATTTAAAAAAAGTTTTATTTCTCTTTGAGAAACATACACGATATACTACGCCTAAGCCAATGGCGACTATATTCTGCATCCTTTGATGAACCTTGAATGAGCTCCTTGTGCAATTCTTGCCGCTTCTTGCTCTCTCGAGGTGAAGTGAAATGGGGTTAGCGTCGCGTTCAAGATTATTGCACTTATACAGCGACGTGCATGCATTTGTGTGTGTGGCTGTTGTACTAGTCCGGACGAATGCCCGTTTTGTAGTGATAGCCCACTGAGATACCATGCCTCATTTTAACATCACAGATATCTCACTCAGACACAGTATACGGTATCCGAGCCGACCAGTCCTTGTTTAGCCGCATAATGCCGAGCGAAAGACAGGGTAACAACAAGGTACCATCTTTTCCTTTCGGTCTCATGGCGGACGCTCTACCACTAGACCACAGAGGCGGTCTCACGTGTTTTCTCAAACGTTTTTTAGTTGGTACTCAACAACAAAAGTTCCTGTGACACCAATATTTTAGTGTATTTTTCAAACAAGTAAAGTTTGGTTTTCAGTATTGTAGTACATGTATGGAATCAAGTCACAAAAACGCATCTGCTACAGAAATGAATGCATTCCATGCAAAAGTTGACTTTTATGGAAGCCTCATGCATTTCACTACCCAAGAATGGGTATAAAAACATGTGCGTTAACGGGATTCCATAGGCATTGTTTAGCATCGTGCTGACAACAACCACTCAGAAAAACAACAAAATTACGCAATTATTCAACATTGCGAAATGCCACGCCTGTCCGAAAATGAGCGTCTGCGAGCCATTGGTATGCTTGAAGCAGGATCGAGTCAACGTGATGGTGCAAGACAATTTAACGTCAACAGAAACACCATTTGGTGTTTATGACAACTTTGGCAACAGACGAATGCAGTCAGAGACCATCCTCGGAGTGGCAGGCCACGCGTAACCAATAATCGACAAGACAACTGGATTCGAACAACACACCTACGAAATCGATTCCAGCCAGCAACAGTGACTGCAAGAAGCATCCCTGGCCTTCGACGAATATCTTCACAAACCGTACGTCGTCGCCTCAGATGTGCAGGGATTGTCGCCAGAAGACCCGCCAGACGTCCCATTTTGACAGGAAACCACCGTCAAGCACGTCTACAGTGGTGCAGACAACGTCTACGCTGGACGGCCATGCAGTGGGGACAAGTTCTATTCACTGACGGGTCTCGTTTTCACCTCAGTCACAGCGATGGACGGATTCGAGTGTACCGACGTCAAGGTGTTCGTTACGTCAATCATTGTGTCATGGAAGAAGATCAGTTCGGGGGCGGCAGCGTTATGGTATGGGGTGGGATTACAACAAGACAGAGGACCCGTTTGATAGTGGTAGAGGGAAATCTCAATGGACAGCGCTACCGCGACGAGATCATCGGCCCTGTTGTTCTACCGTTTTTGCGTCGTCATGGCCCAGGCATTACCTTTCAACATAACAACGCCCGGCCTTATATTGCTCGACTTGTTCAGGATTCTCTTCAACAAAACAACGTGAATGCATCCCCTGGCCGGCTCGCTCCCCTGATCTCTCTTCAAACGAGCACATGTGGGATGAGATGGATCGGCGCCTTTGACGTCAACCACGTGTTCCGCACACACTCCATGAACTTCGAAACATGCTCCAGCAGATATGGACAGATATCCCACATGACTTTGTGCAACGCCTGGTTCATTCCATGAGACGAAGATGTGCTGCTTGCATCGCAACCAGAGGTGGACACACACGCTATTGATTTGTAAATTGTCATTTTGGCATGTTCATGTTTTGTATGAAATCACGCATTTTCTGAAATCAGTATGGCAAATTAAACCATTTGAACCCTTAAAGGAGTCTTTTATCTGTTGCAAACGGAAATTGTTTCAGATTTGGTAAAAAAACATAACTTTGCATTAAATCTTATTCATTGTCACCAGAACTTTTGTTGTTCCGTATATTTGTAAGGTAACCTGTATCCCAGGCTGTGATATCTCATATTACTTTACTCGTCACTATATGGCTGAAATATTGCTGATGTGACGTTAAATCTTAATTCAATCACTCATATTACTTTTGCCCATTTCTCATTCCTATTTTGTCGAATTGTGCCTTTTAGCAGTTCAGGAATCCGATACTCTTGGTTCGAACCCCAGATACGCTTGTTTTTAAATATTACTTCAGTATTTCCCTCTTATTAAGTTGACACGCCATGATATTACCGAATTGTTGTAATCAGTGGCGTTAAGCCCAACTCACACATAATATAGGTTGGACTAAATTGATTTTTCCATATGTTAACATGATGGTTTTTACGCTTCTCAAAACTGTTGGCTCGCGATATCGTGTTACTACTTTGTTTTGTTTTGTATTTTTGTGAGTAGGAAATGACGTCATTTATTGTTCATACATTACGTCATAATATTCGGAATAGGGTACCTCGTCAGTGAATGACCAGAAATCGATTCACTTGTCACAGCTAATACGGATCTCCTCGTAGATCTTAATTATTCTCCTTCACCTAGATATATATGTATCACGCTCAAAAGCAAGTCAAGCGGCTAGAGTAATCTGAGTCCTCAGTTTCAACCTTTTTGTCAAATGCAGAGTTGCCTCCCCTGAGCTGCCAGTATCCTATGACCTTGGTTCTCATCTGAATGTTCGTCTTGATATCAATGAAGACTTAATATCACTTGACCAATCGTTTCTACCGACCAGATGAAGGTCATATAGTATGTCATCGGCTATATATGTTAATTTATTCAATAATTTACTGATTTGGTGAAGGGGTCACTATTAATTTATTTTATTGCACTGTCAGAGAATAGAGAAGACCGGCCACATTCCCCCTGAAGACGTTACGTTTGGCGTGTTTGTTCCGATACGAAAATAACCTTTGCATACCAGGTATTGGACGCTGTCGATATTTCGACTTTTAGATGACCTTCATATCTCATTCCAAAACAAAAAATTAAGGTATCAAAACTTTTGAAAAGAATGTTTGTTGTAATTTGCCGTTCGAAAAATAACGTTCATTGGACAGAATGGACATATTCCGTTAAAAATGTGCAGGTAAATATCAAAACACTGTGTCTGGACACGGCCCTATCCCATGATGAAATACACACTGAAGACACCAATCCATATTGCCAATACCATACAGAATGTCTGTCTACCCGTGAAAATCCGTTAGAATTGGACCGCCTCCGTGGTCTTGTGGTAGAGCGTCCGCCCGGAAGAGCGGAAGGTCCGGGGTTCGATCCCCGATCGCGTCATACCCAAAGACGTTAAAAGATGGCACTTGTTGTTACCCTGTCTGGCGCTCGGCATTAAGGGGCTAAAACAAGGACTGGTCGGCTCGGAGTCAGTATACTGTGTCTGAGTGGGGTATTCATGTTAAACTGCGACATGGTATCTCAGTGAGCTAGCACTATAAATCGGCATCAGTCCGGACTAGTACAAGCAGCCACACAAACACACACGTACATGCACGTCGCTATATAAGTGCAATAATCTTGGACGCGACGTTAAACCCCATTTCACCTCACCACGTTAGAATTGTTCTTCAGCAACCAGTGCTTGTCGAAAAAGGCAACGAAGGTGGTCGAGTGGTCAGGCTCCCTGGCTTCGTTGATGCATGTCATCGTATCCCAATTGCGTAACTCGATGCTCATGATGTCAATCACTGGGTTGTCTGGTCCAGATTCGTTTGTTAAGAGACCGCCGTCATATAGCTAGAATATTGCTGAGGGCGGCGTCAACAACAAAGAAAACAGTTTGTCAACAGCAGATGAAGCAATTAAATGAAAACCGAAAAACAGCCTTTCATAACGCTGTTGTCATCAGTTTGTATAGTAAGGGTTCAAATATCTAAAAACAGCATTAATAAATCATTTTGATTGGAATTCTGTAACACGTCCGCAAATAAAGTTATGTCATAGGGACCTGATAAAAGCCATATAGCGCCAATATCCATCGAGGTCTCCAGAGCGCTGATCACACTGGTATCAACCAATCATCTACGACTTTCGGATACTGCTCTCCTACGAACTGCATTCAGTCGTTATAACCACCAGTTGGTTCTTTCTCCGCGCGTCAGTCTGCGAGTGTCGCTGTAGAGTCGTATAAGGACTACTGCTGAAACAGTGGACAGACTTTCACACACGGCTGTTGACATTGTGAGACGACAGGACCATCCTTCTCATTTGGAATACTAAACTGGAAATTTATCAACTCTATCACTTATTGACAAAAATCATGTCTACTCTGTGCCAAGCAACGCAAAAGGTAAGCAAACTGTAGACATATGTATCACATAAAACTCTTAAAGCATTTAAACAATAGTACGACTTATCATTTTGATACTGCGACAAAGGAAATCCAGAAAAGTTGCCAAATTTGAATCAAACTATCTTTAAATAAAATCGAAATAAGAATGGAGAAATATAGCAGTGGTTTAACATATGTTGTGGAACAGGCAAATCAGTTTATCATCCTCTTTAGACCTGCAGGTGCTGGTGATTAGTCCCTCATCATCCCAGGCAGGCTTTCGTCAAACCCAAATAGTACATTATATGTAATCGTATACGTATTTATAACGCGTGGAGGTTCTGGGCACCGATAGCGGTGTTGCTGCTACGGGTCAGTGTGTGTACATCAGCGCTGGATTGTTCAAGGCATATTCAGCTGTAGCGTCACAACTGGTTGCGTCAAGCGACCAATGTGCAAGAAAGGAATGGTGTTACGAAGCATGTTAATTATGCTTCCTGCGTAGACCAGGAATGTGACTCTTGATTGTGATTGTCTACTCTTTATTGACATTAATTATACACACAATAATTGTCTTCACAGTTAATGAGATGTAATCAATGTAAGCACTACTCTTCTTACCATCAATGACATAAACCCTTCATGTAATAATCGGGATCTCACATTGCCAGAAACGTCACGCCGAAGACCCGGGTTCGAATCCCGACATGGGTACAATGTGTGAAGCCCATTTAAGGTGTCCCCCGCCGTGATATCGCTGGAATATTGCTAAAAGCGGCGTTACACCATACTCACTCACTTATTGCCAGATCGCCTTTCAGCATTTATTTTATTGTCTGTTTAGCATTGAGTGAATGAGTATGGTTTTACGCCGCTTTAAGCAATTTCCCAGCAATATCACGTCGCGTGACACCAGAAACGGGCTTCACACATTGTACCCATGTGGGGAATCGAACCTGGGTCTATGGCGTGACGAGCGAAAGCTTAAACCACGAGGCTACCCCACCGCCTCTGTTTAGCATTAGAAATGAATGAATTCAAATATTCTGTTTCTTTAATCGACATAATTAATGTTAGGTAATAACAAGTGATCATAATGATGGCTTTATAATGTTCAAAACATCGCAACGATTTACAAAAAGAAGTAACTAATTATTTAATTGCTTGTTATTACATGATGTATGTGTTATGAGGGTGTCTGAAACACCAATTAACTTTCGGCTAAGACGTTGAATACACACTAGACTTATTATTCCATTATTAAAGGTCAATCGTCAATCTGGACACTGGTCATTTGTTCTGTAACACCACTCTCACAGTCCAGTAGTCAATAATGTATTGTCAACGCGCAAGTCCAAGTACAAGTCCTAGTTCGTAAACAGTCGAGAGACCATGATAATTGTCAGGAAGAATAATTTTTATGTTTTGGGGTTCATTGAAATACCGATTCAAGAAACCATTATCACACACATATGCCATGGTTAGCTTGACGTCATTAGACTGCTGATTCCGATATGGACCCTATGGTGTTGGAGACTGTGAATGATACATAGTGGTATCGCTATGACTTCCCATCCTCCAAGCGCACCCTTGACCTCATTGAATTGGTGGTACCCGTTTGTATACCCGTGTGTATACCCGTTTCAAAATCCCTGTTCCCGCTCCACCGGCGATCTTAACTCCAGGACAATCGTAGATCAAGTGCACTGATAGTCCTAACGCTAAGAACCCGTTTGGGGAATGAGGCCTGAGTGTAGATCTTACGATCTTCCTAACACACTGTCCCACCTGTCCTCTGCTCTTTTGACCAAGAGGCCTCTCAAAGAAGTTGTACATTTAGTTCGTTTCTCCTCGAGGCGTTCGGGTAGCCAAGTGGTTAAAGCCTTTGCTCGTCACGCCGAGTACCCGGGTTCGATTCCCGACGTAGGTACAATGTGTGAAGCCCATTTCTGGTGATCCCCGCCGTGATATTGCTGGAATATTGCTAAAGGCGGCGTAAAACCATACTCACTCACTCACTCGTTTCTTCTTCCTTCCAAGAATATGTTCTGTTTGACTGGCATCCCAAAAGTAATATATTATAATTTTACAGGGCGTTTAACCGTACCGTCATCTTGTGACATTACTAGACTTGCACACTATGTGATTTTTTAACCTTTGTCCGGTAGTGCTCTTGGAGCATATCTGACCTTTGTAATCAACAGTACTAGTGCTACCTTCTGAAGTTCGACATACTTAACCACAGACAGACATACTTGAACAACTTACTTTGTTGTACTCATAGCGTTCAACTGATGGGCATTACGAACTGGCACAGGCCACTCAGAGACAACTTCGTCAGAAATCCTATACGGCCATGCTTTCAACTTGAGCTAAACCAGGACATACTTTCTAGTGCCTCGAAACTCGGTTATGATGTTAAGACATCCCTTAACGATGTCGTTGCTGTAATCCTTTGTCGCTGTGGAAGACGTTGTCTTGTCACCGATGATTGACAGGGTCTCTGTGGTCCTAATTGTCGACCACCTAGATCAATAACTGAGAGAACCTGGTCACTGAGCCTGTCGCTTGTTGAGTCCGAAGAAGGGCACTCCCATCCTTTACAAAACCTCACATGATACAGACTTCCAGGTCCGCCATATCCATCGGGGTCACAAACACCAACTTATCAGTCTGGAGTTCCAGCGGCTTGGTATAAACCACACAAATCCATTGAGAACGTGTATCGATACCGGCTTAATCTCAGAATAACACCGCATCAAATTGATTACTCATCGTCGGAATAACTGCCTCATGTTTCCGTTTCCCGTTTTGTAGTAATTTTATGATAAGGGACATGTGAATTTATTTACTTAGCACTTTCCTCCATTGCCAGATACGTCTCCCTACAATGCTTGATGAGGAGGACTCAATATTCTTTTTTTATATGTTCATTGACGTGGCAAAGATTTGTTAAATGCATCTTTTTGCAGTGTAGTGTTTTCAATTTAACCAATAAGAGCATCTGCGCCCTTTATCTTGTTGTGTGTGGTATGACGCAGAGGTTACTTGAGATTATGTTTCATTCTTGGTTGTGTAGAAAGTAAACCTGAAATTCAAAAAAGATTTGTCCATAACCATGCACAATTATTTCTGATAGTTTTGAACTTCTTTACGCCAATCCTGTGAAGGATAACTTCAACTTTCCAATAGTTACCTTTGCCTTTATGATGAGGACTATCCCAACACCTCCCGCCTCCTACGTTTGGAGTACAACCGAACATGCTCTTTCTGCGAATATTTCGAAGAGCTTCATGCGAGTTTTGTTTAAACGTTATTTGATCAGGGTTACAACATTCGAGGCTCCAGTAAAGCTTTCAAACATTTGCGGGGTACATTTCCAAATTTGAGGTGAAAAATTGACTTCTCTTTGCATGTGTTTGTGACAAGTGTCATCGGTAGGGGAGGATTCGTCACCTTTTCGCGGACACCTGGCATCATCAATATTTGATTCATCTAGTGATTCATAAACACATGCATTATGATATAGTCTGAATCGACTCTGCTTTTGGCAGAGATTTCTTATGATTATGAAAAGGATTTTGTAGCTTTTAATTATATGACAGTAAACACAATGATGGCCATTCAATGACAAACGAACGGTTCGTCAGATAGTTGAACGGTTCGTCAGATAGAAAAATTGGCCAAACTGATGACGAATTTCGCCAGTTTCACTTGGATCGCGTGGCTTCATGGAATAAAACTCCTGGTCTCAGATTAAATTGATACCATTTGTTTTCCTGGCCGAGGCCATTTCTCAGTTTACTGGCATATGGAATTGTATTTATGGTGACGTACCATACCAAAGTGACGCTTTCTTGACATTACTGTCTCTGAGAGAAGTATCATGAAGATTGTTTCACTGCTTGAATTCATTTGAACAACAAATCTATCATGCGTTCATATGTGTTACATGTGATGCCCAAAATGCACCTACTGTCATCTCTTAGACCGGTACCCGTGAAGATCCGTGATAGAAACGGGCTTCAGCAACCCATGCTTGCCGTACAAGGCGACTATGCTTGTCCTAAGAGACGACTAAAAGGATCGGGTGGTCAGGAAAGCTGATGCATGTCATCGATCCCAATTGCGTGGATCGATGCTCGTGATATTAATCACTGGATAGTCTGGTCCAGACTCGATTATTTACAGACCGCCGTCATATAGCTGGAATATTGCTGAGTGCGACGTTCAACAACCAACCAACCAACCGATCTCAGACCGGTTCCAAAAATCGGTAACGGAAGAGCGGACGATTGGTTCTTGTTACCAACAAATTACACAGTTAGCAATGGATGATAAAAGAAACGGAAAAGTACTGTTATTGTGGCCCATTTTGTTGTATTCTATAACATGTTTGTTCTACTTTGCATGGATTCACAACGCAATTAGTTGGAATGAAATTACGTCGCCGGTATTATCTTTGCTGTAACATGTCTTTCCTTTGTGTACCGTCTGTTTGAGGGGCGGTCGGGTAGCCTAGTGGTTAAAGCGTTCGCTCGTCACGCCGAAGACCCGGGTTCGATTCCCGACATGGGTACAATGTGTGAAGTCCAGTTCTGGTGTCCTCAACCGTGATATTGCTGGAATATTGATAAAAGCGGCGTAAAACCAAACTCACTCACTCAATCACCGTCTGTTTGCAATTCTTCGCTTACAACATCTCGTAAATCAAGAAGGGTGTGTGTCTTCCCGACCTGAGAATGTGGGTTACATTGCTATTCAAAAGTTGAGAATGAGTGAGTGATTAAAATTTAACGCTCATTCGTCAACTAAAGCAATAAATGTGACGTTGAAAATAACTAAAATCTCAGTCAAATATCACATTCTAAAACTGTTTAAATTAAGTATTATGTGTTGTCATGAAGATGGATTTCTTTCAAATATGCTGAAATCAGTTAGTTAGAAACTGCTGTAAATTATTACAAAAAGAACGTTGAAAAATTAAGTTGAGAATCCAACATGATGACAGTTCCCGT